TATGTAATCAGGCAGCAAAGATCAAAAAAAGGAGATGGGATAGAGGACAGCAAACACAGTATCCCTTTTCTAATGGTTCCTAACACTGTTAGTTTGGGGTTTTTTTACTGCTGCTGCACACTGAATAGATTTTTTCAGAAGACTGTCCACAGTAACTCCAAAATCTTTCTTGAGAGGTACCAGCTAATGTAGAATCCAGCTATTTGTAAGTAGAGTTTACAGAATTAGTTTCCAGTAAGCATCCCTTTGCACTTATTAGCATTGAATTTCATCTGCCATTTTCTCCTCCAGTCACCCAGTTTTGTGAGATCCCTTTGTAGCTCTCCATAATCAGCTTTGGACTTAACTATCTTGAGTGCTTTTTATTGTCTGCAAACTTTTCCACCTCACTGTTCACCTTCTTTCCATATTCATATTTATGAATATTTGGAACAGCACTTGTCCCTGAGGTTTACCTAGTTCGAACTAAGCGCTCCGTTAGTTCGAATTAACTTTGTAGTGTAGACATACCCTCAGGGTCTTCCAATAGATTGGTGAGGCATGATTTCTATTTACAAAGCCATGCTGACTCTTCCCCAAGATACCATATTTATCTATGGGTCTGATAATTTTGTTCTTTATTATAGTTTCAATCAGTTTGCTTGCTACTGAAGTTAGGCTTACCAGCCTATAATTGCCAGGATTGTCTCTGAAGCCTTTTTTTAAAATAGGTGTGTGATGGATAGGAGGAGACCTGGCCTTTCCTGAACATCTCAGCATACAGTAGCCAAAGGGTTAAACCCAGGTAGGTAGGAAGTGTTGGCAGGAAGCCAAAAGAACTAATAAGAAGAAAGTATGAGATTTGAATTGAAAGGGATACTTGTCTGCTGCTCTTTGTGTGAGTTTGAAGCCGGGAGCAGGGAGAACAAGATGAATTGAACCAGGCAGGACTACCATGCCTACAAAGAATACTGGGCATGGAAATGGACTGGACCTTGAAGCACAGATCTGTGAGTAGGTAGGGAATGGAATGTCTATTTAGACACAATCAGGTTATTTTCTTTGTTTTGTTGTTTGGTTAAACTTCTCTTTGCTAAGTCCATGTGTCTGCCTCTCCTACCCATACACTTTAAGCTGTATCCCAGGGATGGAATTTCTCTGAGCTTTGTAATTTGTTCTTTTCTCAGTTGCTTTAAAACACCTAGCAACCAAGTATGCTTTATCAACTATATCTTATTGTTTTGTTAATAAAATAATCTTTTTTAAGAGAATGATTTGATTCTTGTTTCCTGGAAGATAAGGACTGTGTGTGCATGCCTGAGACTGTGAGGTCAGCTATCAGAGACTGAAGTTTGTTTTCTCTTTTTTCCAAGCTCTCTTGTGGTGAAAGAGCTTGGGGTATCCCTCTGGAAGAAGCCCAAGTGGTTTCTTCCTGAGTTCAAGAAGAAATGGTTGTTATTGTTGTTTGGGGGGTTGTTTGTTTTTGTTTCTTTTGGGGGTGGCAGCTATCTCTCAAGGCCAGGGAATTTATGTAGAAGCCTATAGAGGTAAGGTATTTTTAATTCTCTTGTGAGCCCCCATCTTCTGCACTCCGAGTGCCAGAGTGGGGAACAGCCATGACAAAGTGTTACATTAGTTATCTGCTGCTCATCCGGTACAGAAGCAGATCTAAGTGATAGGTTACATATCACGGTTAGTATATTTATTCTTTGAGTTTCTTCAGCACTCTTGGGTGAATATCATCTGGTCCTGGTGACTTGCTACTCTTTAATTTATCAGTTTGTTCCAAAATCTCTTCTATAGACATCTCAATCTGAGACAGTTTCTCAGGTTTTCTACCTAAAAAGAATATCTCAGGTGTCAGGATAGTCCCATATCCTCTGCAGTAAAGAGCAGTGCAAAGGATTCATCTAGTTTCTCTGCAGTGGCCTTGTCTTCCTTGAGTTCTCCTTTAGCACCTCAGTCGTCAGGAACAATCACAGATTAGGATTGGTGAAACCTCAAGAGGTCATCTAGTTCAACTTCCTGCTCAATGCAGGAGCTTCCTGTGTGTGTGCATGTGAGTGGCTATCCACAGCTAAATAGCCATATATAAACAAATCCTCAGTAGCCAGCTTGTGTGGAAAAATGCCTTTTAGGAAATCACCACAAGGAATCCATTTTGAAGCACTTGAAGAGGGGAAAGTGATCAGGAATAGTCAACATAGATTCACAAAGGGCAAGTCGTGCCCGACCAATCTGATTAATTTCTATGATGAGGTAACTGGCTCTGTGGATATGGAAAAGTCAGTGGATGTGATATACCTTGACTTTAGCAAAGCTTTTGATTCCGTCTCCCACAATATTCTTGTCAGCAAGTTAAGGGAATATGGATTGGATAAATGGACTGTAAGATGGATAGAAATCTGGCTAGACTCTCGGGCCCAACGGATTGTGATCAACGGCTTGATGTCAGGTTGGCGGTCAGTTTCTAGCGAAGTGCCCCAAGGATCTGTTCTTGGACCGGTTTTATTCAACATCTTTGTTAATGACCTGGAAGAGGGGATGGCTTGCTCCCTCAGCAAGTTCACAGATGACACTAAGCTAGGGGGAGAGGTAGATACGGTGGAGGGCAGGGATAGGGTCCAGAGTGACCTGGACAGATTAGAGGATTGGGCCAACAAGGACAAGTGTAGAGTCCAGGGGAATGAATGGCTAAGTAGCAGTTCTGCAGAAGAGGACCTGGGGATTACAGCGGATGAGAAGCTGGATGTGAGTCAACAGTGTGCTCTTATAGCCAAGAAGGCTAATGACATATTAGGGTGCATTAGGAGGAGCACTGCCAGCAGATCCAAAGAAGTGATTATTCCCCTTTATTCGGCGCTGGTGGCCTTATCTGGAATATTGTGTCAAGGGGCAGCCCATGAGCCTAGGGGCGCCCAATGATGACATCACGGCCACTGATGGCCGTGCAGGCGGGGGCACCGATCACGCCTTCTGCCTGGGGCGCCAGCTGCCGCAGCCAGCCTCAAGAAACTCCTGATTGTGTCCAGTTCTGGGTACCCCCTCCCCCACTATAGAAAGGATATGGACGCATTGGAGAGGGTCCAGCGGAGGGCGACCAAAATTATTAGGGGGATGGAGTGCATGACCTATGAGGAGAGACTGAGGGATTTGGGTTTGTTTAGTCTGCAGAAGAGAAGAGTGAGGGGGGATTTGATAGCAGCCTTCAACTTCCTGAAGGGAGGTTCCAAAGAGGATGGAGAGGGCTGTTCTCAGTAGTGACAGATGGCAGAACAAGGAGCAATGGTCTCAAGTTGTGGTGGGAGAGGTCTAGGTTGGATATTACTTCAACTTCTTGAAGAGAGGTTCCAAAGAGGATGGAGAAAGGCTGTTCACTGTAGTGACGGATGGCAAAACAAGGAGCAATGGTCTCAACTTACCATGGGAGAGGTGTAGGTTTGATATTAGGAAAAACTATTTTACTAGGAGGGTGGTGAAGCACTGGAATGGGTTACCTAGGGAGGTGGTGGAATCTCCATCCCTAGAGGTTTTTAAGTCTCGGCTTGACAAAGCCCTGGCTGGGTTGATTTAGTTGGGATTGGTCCTGCCTTGGGCCGGGGGCTGGACTTGATGACCTCCTGAGGTCTCTTCCAGCTCTATGATTCTATGACTATTATGTATACCTTCATGCTATCCGTTTACAGACGTTCCTCTGCTTTATATATAAAGTTTAATTGCTAAGGCTGGTACGGTCACGTTATCTGTGGGTTACAGGCAAGTCATTAAATCCGATGTAAGAGCACTGAAAGCTGCTAGGAAAATGAAAGGTCTATTAAATATTTACTGTGAGATGTGAAACAGCTCCTTCACTGTTGGTAAATATATATTTTAAAAAAGGAACTTTAATGGTGTGACAGTAAGAATAGGGCTTACCAGTAATAACCCCAAGAACCAGTCAGGAAGGGAATACTCTGACTGCTGAGAAGACAGGAGGCTATGTCTCATCTGTAAATTAAGTAGGTCCTGAGTCAAGTTCCCCTGAAGCCATTGACTTTGAAAGCACCTAGATTGTGCCCATACTACGTGATTCTGGTAGTCAAGGTTCAGTATATTCTGTTTGGTTAATAAACGGTTCTGGGCAAAAGAATTGCTTGGAAATCCAGTCTGAGTCTGCATTTTCCTTACCTTTGTCTGAATATTGATTTTTTTTTTTCCGAATTGATTTTCCTTTCTCAACAACAAAAGAAAAAAAATTGAGAATGAACCTCTGCCGTTCACATAGTGTCAAGTCAAAGGCTCACTCAAATCTGTATCAGGTCACTGGACTCATTGCAGTTCTTACTTTAACTTTTGAAACCTGGGCATCTCAATAGATCATCTAGCTACCCAAATCAGCAGTTATGTTACTAAAATAGGCATTTACTTGCCTATATGCTCGGTAAGCATCTAACTCAGAGCTCAGGATTTCCTGCTAATGTGTCCATGTGTAAAATTAAGCTCCCCTGTCAAACTAATTTGCGCTTAATTCTTACAATGCATTAAAAAGTTCTGATCTCTCATTGCAAAGACTCTGTACTGTGCAATGCACATGAATTAAAGATAAAAGCTACTGCAGTTAATATTCAGTACTTACATTTGGTCTATAATTATATCTTTTTATTTATTGCTTAGACGCTAAATGTTCTGCATTTTCATTCTGTATCAATAATACGCAAACTTCAATATTTGCAAACGAGCTTTTTAATTTTTACAAATCTTGCTACCAAATCTTTTATGTTGAATTTCCATTCAAAGCATATTTTATTGCCAGTATTAAAACACTGACAGATCCTGATTCACATCATTGTCCAGAGGGACTGTGTGTGTGCTTTCTGTAAATAACATAGCTGTATGCCTTATTCCTACAAGTATATTCACACATTTATAGCTTTAAGTATGTGAATAGTCCTGTAAATGGGATTAGGAGAGAATTTGCACAATCAGGACCTTAGATTTGTTTTCAGAGATAACAGTACTAATAATACTGTCTTTAATTTCAGATTGGCACTGATTGGGATGCCAAGGAAAGGATATTTCGGAATTTTGGAGGACTTATTGGGCCGATGGATGAACCAGTTGGCATGCAGAAGTGGGGAAAAGGCCCCAATGTCACAGTAACAGTGATATGGGTGGACCCGATCAATGTCATCGCAGCTACATATGATATCCTTATTGAATCTAGTGCAGAATTTACTCACTACAAACCACCTTTGAATTTGCCGCTGCGGCCTGGAGTCTGGACTGTTAAAATTCTGCACCACTGGGTACCTGTAGCTGAAACCAAATTCCTTGTTACTCCCCTTACATTCTCTAACAAGCAACCTATCAAACAAGGTAAGCAGTTTTTGCGGGCACAGTAAGCATTAAAATGTTCCAAATAGTGGTAACATACTAGTATAAAAGAATATTTCATTCTCTGTCAATGCTATGATTAAAATCACAATACCACTACACCGGAAAGTACCCACAAAAGGAATAGTTGAGATGTTAAATAGGAAGAAGATGTATTTTGAAAATGGGTGAAAGTAGCTGAATCCATTCTGTAAAACACAGGAACTTTGAACAAAAAACTTCATTTTTAAATCTTTTATTTTATAGAATACACAGAGTTGGGAACCTGTAGAACTTTTAGGCATTTCATAATCATAGAGCTACTGTGCAAATCATAGTTTAAGAATACAAGCAAACAGAAATAAGTCATTTCCTTTCTTATCTGCTGCTTTCACTTACTTGCTCCAAAAGATTTAAACTCTTTCTGTTGTTTGCTTGACAAAATCGTTATGTATAATAGTAAGGATATTAATTCATGAAATGTTGGCTTTATCAAAATTACCTGCAATATGTCGCCATCTCCTTCTAAAACAGCTATTCCAGCCTTTTCCCAGAACTGGTAAGACCTTCCCTGTAACCTCAATATGATATCCTGTGCATCTGAAATTGTAGGTGACCCCAGATGTTTAAGACCAAACCAAAGCTTATTTTCTGAAAAGAAAGATACCTCTTTCCTTTCAATAGCATCATCTAGCTGTCTGAACATCTTTTCCTTTCTAATATAGTTAGAACATGCTGTTAGAAAACCTAAGTGCAGCTTCCATTAGAAAATCCATTCATCTGAATATTCTTTAGTATGTATCAAGTATATTAGCCTATAAGTGGTGGAAGCTCTTCCAAGTCACACCTGTGAGATCATAGCAATTCTCTTACTGTGAATATCTTTGCTATGCTTTTTTACACTCTGATATGTCATTAATATTAATAGCAGCAGCCATTGTAAAGTTGCCAGATACATAAACTATCCTATTAAGTTTTCAGAAGTTCTTCATCTTTCTGACAGAGGAGCAAATAAACTGAGTTAGGCATTTACTTTACATGCTGCTTCAGTAATGCAAACGTTGGGAGGCAACTGCTGAGAGCAAATCCAATCCTAATCTTCCTCAACAGGAACTGGATTCCAGATATTTTTCACCAGAATAGCTGACTTACTGGGTTTTCCTTCTAATATGTGGTGGCATCATTCCTTAAGCAGAAGCAAAACCAGGAAGGCCATGTCTACACTAGGAAACTATTTTGAAATTACTAAATGCGACTTAAGAACTCCTGATTTAACAAATTCAAAGTAGCGTGTCCTCGCAGTAAGGAAGCATTGAAATTACTCCAAGGCAGGTTCCGTTAATGTGGACATGCTACCTCAGACGTAGAGCCGCAGAAAGCACTGGAAAGTAATTATTTCGAAATAGCACCAGTGCGTCCACACTGCTGCTATTTCGAAATAACTATTTTGGCATTAGCGTTACTCCTGAGAAAAAGCAGAAGTACAGATTTTTAATTCTGTGGCCCATTATTTTGAAATAACAGGCTTGGTAGTGTGGACACTCCGTTTATAAATTCTACCTAGGTGGAGGTTATTTCAAAATAAAAGTCATAGAGTAGATGAGGGCTAACATACTGCAGTCAGCATTAGCTAATATAAAATTCTTTGTCTACTTAGCAAAAAATACCATGGTAGGGTGGTATGCATTTGGGGGTTGAGTCAACCAGCTCTAAATGTGGGTGTTACTGATTTGTCTTTTTAAAATTAATTTAGTCTATGATCTTTGATCATTCAACTGTCTGACTAGGTTGAATAGAAGATGTGGTTTGTATCCTCCTGACTGGTAACAGTTACCCATTTGTTTCTTTTTGCCACATTGCTCAGGGTTCCGGTGGACAATGAAGCATTTCCCAAACTTTAGGAGGCTTCTCCCTATGAAGGGGTGCATCTACACAGCACCCTAAACTTGAAATAAGATGCGCAATTTACACTATGCAAATCTATTTTGAAATTGCTTATTTTGAAATTTGGCATGTCTACACAGCGCCTAGTTTCAAAATAACGTGGTATTTCGAGCCATCCCTTATCTCTCGTGTAACAAGGTTTACCAGGATGGCGAAATAACTTGCCTGTTATTTCAAAAAATATTTCAGAATAATGGGAGGCTTGTGTAGACATGGGGTAGCTATATCGGGATAAAATAGCCATGCAGTGTAGACATACGCAAAGACAACACGTTGGTTAAAATTCTAAATCTAGAATGATTCCATTGATTTCAGTGAAGTCACACAAAAAATGGCCCATTGATTTCAATGAAACAAGATTGGGCCCATATCCTTTTTGTTAAATCCAGACAAAGTTACTGTGACAATTGTAGTTTACTACAGGTGTTGGATATAAAACTTGGAAGCAATATTGTTTGCTAAAAGCAAGCAAGCAAAAAAGCCTCAGGAGCACTTTGGTAGTGATGTACTATCTCAGAAATTTGAATGTGAAAGTGAAAGAAATTAATTCCAGAAGTTGGTAGAGCAGGAGTTGATAATAATTTTTGATGGGGAACCACTCCAAAAATTTGGAAAATAGTCAAGGGCTGCACTCTTCCAAGTAATAGAATCACAGAGCTGGAAGAGACCTCAGGAGGCCATCAAGTCCAACCCCCTGTCCAAGGCAGAATCAATCCCAACTAAATCAACCCAGCCAGGGCTTTGTCAAGCCGAGACTTAAAAACCTCTAGGGATGGAGATTCCACCACCTCCCTAGGTAACCCATTCCAGTGCTTCACCACCCTCCTAGTGAAATAGTTTTTCCTAATATCCAACCTAGACCTTCCCCACTGTAACTTGAAACCATTGCTCCTTGTTCTGCCATCTGTTACTACTGTGAACAGCCTTTCTACATCCTATTTGAAACTTCCCTTCAGGAAGTTGAAGGCTGCTATCAAATTCCCCCTTACTTTTCACTTCTGCAGATTAAATAAACCCAAATCCCTCAGCCTCTCCTCATAGGTCATGTGCTCCAGCCCCCTAATCATTTTGGTCACCCTCTGCTGGACCCTCTCCAATGCATCCACATCCTTTCCATAATGGGGGGGCCCAAAACTGGACACAACATTCCAGATGAGGCCTCACCAGAGCCGAATAAAGGGGAGTAATCACTTCTCTAGATCTGCTGGCAATGCTCTTCCTAATGCAACCTAATATGTCATTAGCCTTCTTGGCTACAAGGGCACACTGTTGACTCATAGCTAGCTTCTCATCCACTGTAATCCCCGGGTCCTTTTCTGCAGAACTGTGACTTAGCCAGTCAATTGAGGTTGGGTGCAGAAGGGAGCATAAGGTAAGGGATTGGGGTGCAGGAAAGGACGTGGGATCTGGGAGGGAGTTTGGGTAAAAGAGGCAGTTGTGACCTGGGTTAGGGGATGAGGGTGCAGGGGTTTGGGTTGTGACCTTGGCAAGAGGGAATTGTGACCTGGGGAAGGAGACTAGGATGAGGAGGGAATGGAGGGATTTTGACTGTGACATAGGGCAGGAGGGAGTTGTGACTTGGGGAAAAGGCTGGGGTGCAGTGGTTTGGGTTGTGACCTAGGGCAGGGGATTCAGATGCATTATCTGGGAGGGGACTGGGGTTCAGGAGGGGGGCAAGGGATTTTGGTTGTAACATGGGGCAAGGGTTTGGCGTGCAGGATCTGGGAGAGGATAAGGGGGCAGAGAGTTAGGGTTGTGACCTATCAGAGGCAGCAAGGTGGGGAGCAGAAGACTGTACAGGGGGGAGCCAGCTTAACAGACAGTTCCCCCACCACCGTCTCTGCCGGGGGTAGGGGAAGTAGAGGCACAGCGGACACGCCGCAAGTGGGGACTGAAGCGGTCTCTGCTGCGATTCTGCTTTTGAAATATACAGAAGCCCCGCTGGGACTCTTGTACATTTCAAAGGCTGAGGCGCGCAGGAAACGAGAGGCCAGCGGGGGGAGTCCCCCACCTCAGCCCTAATGGGACTCTTGTATATTTTAGAAGGAAGCCCTGCACTCCCTGCGGAGCTTCTGCTTTTCAACTGTAGCAAGAGCTGAGTGGGCTCTTGCTACAGTTCAAAGGCAGAGGCACCCTTAGAGACTAATCGAATAGTCAATGGAAATCCCATAGACTATTCAGTTGATTTATTAATCTAAATTCAGCATACCTAGCAGGATCTGGGAAGGGATATGGGGGCAGGAAGAGGACAGAGGGCTTAGGTTGTGACATGTGGCAGAGGATTGGGGTGCAGGATCTGGAAGGGGATATGGGGGCAGGAGGCGTCAGAGGATTTGGGTTATGTGTGGTAGATAGGCAAAAGTTGGAGTGGCAGAGGCAGACTCTGGCTGACAGACTTACCTGCTTGATTCCCAGCTAGCAGCCTTCTCAAGAAGACTCCCTGCCTGCCCCATGCCCACACTGGCTGCAAGGGCCATATGGTTTTTGAACAGCTACAAGCCTGAGGGGAGCGGGGGAGGGTGCTTCACAAGCTGCCTGTTCACTACAGGAGAACCCAGCCAATGAGTATGTGCTGGGGGTGGGAGCAGCGCCTGAAGCCTTCGCCCCTCCTCCAGGCTCACAGCTGTTCAAACAGAACCCCACAAGTTCACAGCAGCCACTTTTCTCAGCACCGGGCAGGAGCGGGGAGAGGCAGGGAGTCTGCCTGAGGCTCCCAACTACATTCGTGGGCCAGATCTGGCAGCTTCACAGCGAGATCCAGCCTGTGGGAGGGTATTTTGCCCAGGTCTGAGATAAAGACATACCATTTTGGTTAAGGATATATCAGAAAACAGGGCTCACCAAACCACAGCGAGCCCTGCTCGCCAGCTGTACTGGCCGGCAATCTGCGCATGCACAGATCGTCCGAACCCGGCTCGTCTGGGTTACAATCTACTCGCCACAGGCGAGTAGATTTTATTATTTGTCGAGCCCTGAGCATTCTTAATGAAAACCTCTGTTGTTTCTTACTCGACCACAATATTGTGTTCCAAGCAGAAAATTGTCAGTTATCTTTAATT